CTCCTCATCTTCTCCATACTGTTCATGGAGACCTCTGTCATAACTTCCTTTATTTGTGTTTAGATAGCTTAATTACTATTTCCTTGCAGAAAAATTTTATTTGTCTCTTTGTTTTATGAGTCTTCTCTATTCTACTCTTAAACCATGCTCACTTTTTTGGAGGGAAGGTTTATAGCTCTAGTAGTTTCTACTTACTGTGAACACTTAGCCTTCAGGCTATTTAAAGTAATGTATTATTTCCTGAAAGAATTTTACTCTTTCAGTTGCTTTTTAGTTTCCTTTTAGTAAGAGTATTTTATATGCAGGTTTTGTTTCTTAAACTGTATCAGTATGCTGACTGAATTTGATGACTTTATCATCTGTATTCTCACCCCCCATTACGTAACAGCTCTGTGGCAGACACAGTATTTATAAATAATTTAGAGCACTTTGGTTTTGAACAGTACGTAGCCTCTGGGAATAATGAAGGAACCACCACTATGTGGCTTTTCAGCCCTGTGGGGATCTTCTGATATTTGTGTCTACACTGCTAATAATTTATGGACACAACACTGAGCAATTCTAGTCTAACATATATGGGATTTTATGCTCCATAGTATTTCTGTATTGCAGTAAGTATTTTTTATCCTGTTGTTCTAGGTACAGACCAGAATATGTTGTGCTGGTTAGTGAGGCCATCTAAGAACTGGAGCAGGGTGCAGGTTATTCATGGCTGGTCTGAAAATAATTTTTAAAACCTCTTAGTAGGTATGGGCTCATTTTCTCCATACAGTTCCATTCAGTTTCCTGGAGTATTTGAGGCATTGCTAGGGTTGTTTGCACTTCATGGCATGTACAGTGCAAAATGAACTACATACGTAATTAGGCCAAGCTTTCCAATCCAAAACTTCCATTCTGACATGGAATGTACCCTTGATAGAGGCATACATTTCAATTACAGATGCACAGTGGAGATGTAATAAATGCCATGAATAGCTGCACAGAGGTTAGTGTCAAAACCTTTGCTTGATTTCACTTGGATCAGAATTCCGTCTCCAATGTGGTTTTCCCACTTCTGGTTGCGACAGTGCATATTTAATTAAAATGCATAAATACTTTGAGACAATGGAATAATAATAATTTATTTCCCCAATTGTCAGTTTTGTAGTTTATGCAGAGGGAAAGCAGCCAAGACATGCTGACGTATTTAAGATGTCCAAGAAGGCAGTATGCAGTTAAAAAAAGAAGACATGCAAAATACAAGATTGGGTATAAACAAAGTGTTTCTAAACAGTAATGAATTAACAACATGAATTGTTCATTTCATGGTACTGATACATAATCTCTATTACACAACAACCAGAAAACAAAACAGCTGCAGTTTTTGTTGAAACTGGGAGAGACACCAGATGGAGGGTTTTATTAGCACATTCAGGCAACAGAAAGCAGGCATAATCAAATAGCCATCATCAGAAATCCAGCATTCAAGAGGCTGTGGCCTGTGGGATTCAAGAACAAATTTCTGATAATCTACTGTATGTAGTTCCTCTGAAATTATTTCGGTTCTGCCAGCGAAGGACTTGTGTATTAGGTAATTTGGCCTCTTAGCTAAGTAAAGTGAAATGCAGTTATATAATTTTGATGAGTCTGACCAAAGTATGTGACACAGGAATGTCATAAGTGATACCAAAAGGCATAGTTTAAGGCCATAACTGTATAGGGTTAAAATATGAACTCCTTCTGATTGCTGTTGTTGCTGATATCAATTTATTCTCCAATGCAGACAGCACAGGCCGTGAACCCTGTTTTTTCATGTCAAAAGAAGTTTAAGGCACATGTTTTAAAAAAACGTTATATTCATGGAGCTAGTCAAAAGTGTTCATCTAATTTTTTTTTTACATCCTGTAATTACAGAGTATTTTATATAGTTTGGGAAATAGCAAATGTATTTCCTCAGTTCACCACATTTTTAGTGAAAACATTTAAATGAATTTTTAACTTCCCTTTAAAGTGCTGGAATGAGTACCTTAATTTAAATAAAAATTACCCAAGAAAACTTTGGAAACAAAGACTTCTAGACATTTTAAACTGTATATTGACTCCTATTACATTTTTGCCTTTTCATCACATCTTTCAGTCTTTTTCTCTTTTGGAAGCAAGTGTGAGTGTCTTGTGATAAAGTGTATGTGATGCTATAAGCACATTTTCTGAAATATTTATATACCTGTGAATGTTTATGCTTGTGTAAAGCTGTGGTTCATGTGTTTTTCCGTTTAATGTGTCCTTTCAGTTGTATTCCTTACAGCTAAAAGCCATTTTTAGAAGCAACACTGACAATTTAAAAATATGTGTTTGTTGATCTTTCTAGACCTATAACTAAGGAAACTTTTATTCTCTCACTTACAGCCATCTTGTTGTCTACAGAAATTCACTAGTGCCCAAAAGTAGTTTTTCCTCTAGTTATAGGATACGTTTCAAGTGTCATGTGTCTCACACGACAGTTGCAGGTGCTAAACCTCATTGAGGTTAATAGGGAATCTCTGAATTTCCAACCTTAACATAAGGTTTTCCTTTGTGGCAAAGGAGTTGGCTTTTGGCAGAGATTTGTTTATTGCAGGACTTACACAATAAGGCTGCATTGTGGCTGATGCTGCCGGGAAACATTCCTGGGCACTGGCACTGTTGGCACAGAGAATACTTAGCACATACTGAATACTTCGCACATTGCGCAGCTATAGCTTCTGCCAATTAACGCTCTCCCAGACAGTTCCCAAGCATGGTTCAAGAGTTTAGAATGGTCAAGGGCCTGTTCCCAACAGGCAGTTTGGCAAAAGCCACCCAGTATGGGAGGATTAAATAGCATGGCTGCTGATTATTCTCGACAGCTGACCTCAGTTTTAAAACAAACCATCTGTGCACATATGATGTAAAATTGTATATGTATACAGGTGGTAGTAGAGTTAGGAAAGTAGGAGGCACCGAGTTTTTACTCTTCTGCAGCAGCTGACAGCTGTAGCTGATGGTTGAATTAGAGTTACTGGTTTTGCAGTGATATGGCTTGTTTCAGAGGTCTCAGACAGAAGTTGAGGAGTTAAGGGCTGTCTGTAATTCCCAGCCCCATCTAATACTGTTATTTGGGCCATCAACTGAGCACATGCCTAGCAGGCTAAGTACTTCTCAAACATCTTAAGCCTCCTGAGCCCATTCTGCACCAGTGGATGTGTAGATGAATAGGAAACTAAAGTTCCCATTGTGTGTGTTGTGTAAGAAGCAAGGTGGCATGCTCTGCATGTGTAGGTTATTTTTACAGAGTATGTAATAAAAATGATGTATCCCTTCTTATAGTCCTCACTGTGTATATGCTGTGCATCCATTTTCTCATGTTCCTATCCAAACAGGCTTACAAATGTTTATGCTGGCTCGTAAAAAAACAAATTACTCCAGAAGCTGTTTGCATTGCTCCTCGCTGTTGGTTTAGTCTTTTTTTCTTTAGGCTTTCCATTTTTAGCCTTGAAGAATTAATAGTGTTGTCATTGTATAATCATTGTACAGTGCATGCAGGTAAGGTCCTCAGACTAATCCCTTGCTAGAAAAGTGTTCCCAGTCAGTGAGGTTGATTTTTGATTTTCTCCTTTTTTTTTCTTTCATAGAGTTTTTCAGGACCCATACATTTGTTTGTGCAGTTTATGTGACAAAGTAAAGAGATGACAATTTCCTTTGCCAGCTGTCTTAAATCAGATTTGAAGCATGGAAACCATTTTTACAGACAAAAATTTCAGTGACAGAAGTATAGGCAACACTTTTCCACTTTACATGTGGAAAAAATACGTATGCCATTCTTCAGATGTTGATTACTTCTGAAATATTCACTTTTGTATCTCAAAACCACCAAAACCGTTAATAAGGAAAGTACCTGAAAAACATTATTTTATTTGCTTACCATCATCATCTGATGAGATTTGATTAGCATGTTATTTTAGAGCTTGAAAAGTTCTGTGAATAAAATAATTTAAAGAAATAAAGTATCTGAGGTAACCAGAAACCTCTTAGAAATGCTTGGAGACCATAATGTCCTGGAGAAGCATCTAGCAGATATGAGAGTGGCCTATTGGTTGAAGCCAGGTTTCAGGTTTCAAAACACATACAGACTAAACTGTGTATTAGAATATCCCACCTGCAGATGGTGGATACTTCTCAAACACAAAAGCATTTAGAAATAAACAGTTATTAAATAGGTGTTTGCCTCTTACTAGAATGTAGTTGCGGCTTGAAAAGGGAGACTGAAAAACAAGAATCTCTTTTTCTTGCCTGCTCTCAGTGAAGTTATGCATACTTAGTAAGAGTCTGATAGTTGTGGTTCTAAAATGTCAGAGCTCAAGAGCAAGAAAACTTGCCTGCTTTGAAGTCTCAGTATATGCTATGGCTGTAGGGGAAGAGGCTCTATGCAATTTTTTTCTAGTAACAAAAGCATTTGTGGTAACATAGATCAGTGATACTAATTTGGTATGCTTGATGTAACTGGTCACTGGTGAGTTTTTTAGTTGTGATTAACCTGAACATTCTAGACTTATCCAGGAAATACTTCTGTACTTTTTCATACCACTGTGTAATGTCATCTTTGTCATTGTCTTTTTTTTTTTTTTTTTGTATTTTCTGTAAACACATTCAGGTGACATGGATATTGACATCCATAATTAAAGATGAGTAAGAGTCAGAAAGGAGGAAAATGGCCTAAACTTCCTGTCACTGAAGTAATGACAAAATTCTTTGGCTGAAATCAGGGTCTTAGAAAAAAAAGTGTTTTGTCTTCTTGGTGATTTCTCCTGAGCAAGCAGTACTCAGAGTGCGCTGTTGCAATATTGCTCAGTTGTTTTACCATAATCAGGACAGCTATCAAATCACATCCCTTGATAGTCGTGTCACTTTTTTTTTTTTTTTTGTAAATACACTTGTTCTCAAATGATAAGCGAAGATTTTAAAAAGTAAAAGAAGAACATGTAAACACAAACAGAAAATACCTGTCATATTTGCCAGAATATTTTATTTATATTGTGTCTACAGATGAAATTAGGTGCTGGAAAAGAGACACTGCATCAGATATTATTATTCATACTTCAGCTGCCAAGGAAGAATTTTGTTGGTAGCCTTTAGTAATAATTGGACCAAAATACGTGGTTGTGCAGCTTTCAGCTTTTTGTATGATGTAGAGTGCAGCTTCTCTCACAGGTCGTCTGTTTCTGGAACGGTGTCAGAATCTGAAGGCTGAATGAACACTGCAGGAATGTTCTCAGATGACCATCCTTTTGGAGTCCTATTGAAGGATCTTCTGGTAGCAAGAGGGTTTGCGAGGATCATGAATCTGGGATCATTTAGCATCAGTAGATTATAATCTGGTACCTTGAATTTCACCAGCTTTGATGCTCTCTCAAAACCACCAAAAGGAGTGGCAACTCTGTAGATATTGGAGAAATAAAAGGAAAATGTGCTTTTAAAAATACCTGTTTCCTTTTCCTCCCAGAAGCTGAAAAGAGCAGAAGCTATTTTAATGATGCAGATTTGGTACAATTTCTTGTTTACATTTTCAAACTTTGGGGAGTTGATTGTTTTTCTGCCAAATTCTCTTTAAGATCTGTTTTATTTTCCCTTAGGTAAAGCCTTCAGCCTTCTTCGAAATTCAAATGTACAGAAAAGCTGAGGGAAGAAGATGTTGCAAGACAACCTTATCATTGGTGAGTCACAGTTACTAAACTTACTTGTTGGTGATAAGTTTGTAAATCTGAAAACGGTGCAAGATATTCTCTCTAGCAGTAATTAGTTTAGGAAGTTCTCTCTCCATTTTCTTCTATCACCAGTTGCTTATTTCTCCCACTACGCTATATTTCAGCACCATATTGTTGTACCAGTTAGAATGTATGTGGGTTGTGCCATAAACTTGGGCCGCTTATGTGATCTGCGTTAAAACAAAGACCCTTCAAAACAAAGAAGCGTTTTAAAATCCAAATTATTTCAGCAATCTGGTTTCTATCATTATGCTCAAACAATTGCAGCAATACAAGTGAAGAGGCAGTAAAGTGTAATGTGAAGGAGAAAGGAACAGCCAAAGACAACAGTCTCTGGAAAGGAGGGGAATGAGTGAGGACTTCTTACATAAGCTTTGTTTCTGAAGAAAGTGTTTATGTAACTAAACCTTGAAGCACTGGCTGAAATTGCCCCCTAGTCTTCAGTCAGTATTTTTCATGTTATTTAAATGTACCTGTTCCCTCAGGCAATACTGCCTGACAAACTAAAAGATAAGAAATACCAAGCAGGAACTGACTGTTCCATGCATTTGCAAATATTTTAAAACAACAGTATTTTCAAATACCTCCCATGATTCTTGTGTATTTGTAGATTTCTAGGCTGGGGAAAAAAAAGACAAAACAAAACTAAATTAAAACCAAACTGAGTCTTTCTGTTACTTTTCCCAGACTCCTTTGTAAAAGCAAATGAAATATAACGTATTCTGCATTTTGATCAGCTGCATAACCTTGCTGGAATATACTCTATCCAGTTAAGAGTGAGATTTTTAAGCTACAGATTGAGCACCTGATTTCTGTGTAGGTACTTAGTGGCATGGAAAATGGAATTTTTGTTGACGCGGAATTTCACCAGCCTTGGTAGGTTTTGTGTTTTCAGTATAAAACAACAGATCTGCTGGTATGTATCTCCAGTGGCTCCAGGTGGTACAGTAGAAGCCTAAAGAAATGAATGCTGGCAGAAGCCAAAAGAGGTAATTTGAAGATCTGACTAGGATTTTCAGGAAGATAACTACAGATAAAGCAAAACCTAGGGAGAATTAAGTATGTACACACACACACACACACACACACAAATGCCTGATACTAATTCAGAAAAATGAATCCATGACCTAAAAGAAAGGGTACTGCTCTGTCATTACACAAATAATTCACTAGATCTTGGTATAAATGGCATTTGTTGGAGGGGATGGTGGTAAGTGCAAAGGGTTGATACTGTAAGATGTAAAAAAATCGTGCAAGTTCTGGACAAGCATGCTTACTGAGTGAAGAACACTGCTTTGGATTAAGCTCTCAAAATGTTTCTCAGATGAAGATAACACAAGATTTTGCAGGAGCAGCAGCCAGTCCAGGCATTAAATTCTCTTGAGGTCAAAGGAAATTATTTATACAAAATGCTTGTGGTATCAAGCTATTCTTATGCAACTGTCATCTAGGTCACAGTGTCAAATTGGATATAGTATGATACTGATTAAAAATGATGGCGTGGTAATTGGCACAGAGTGAATGTAGTGATCTACATCTTGCAGGATAATGAAGGTTGTTTTAATTGCTGCTCCAATTACAATACACATTCTCACATTGGTGTAATATTTAATTCTCATCAATATGTAAATTAAAGGGATATGTATAAAATGCATACCAATTCCATAGTGTAAAGCTTCATCTTTGCAGTATTACTGGGTTTTAAATACAGCATATTTGTGCAGGTAACAGAAACAGGAGGCAGTTTATGGAAATTCAAATGTCTTTTGTGGGATAAAACCCCATGTAGTTGTGTACAAAGTCTGGCTCCAGAGAAATATGCATTCCAGCATGCTGGGCAGAAACACATGATGATTGACATAAAGGAGAGCACAGTAACTGGCTAATAGATGTTAATTTTCCTTTACAGCAGCAGTATATTTTTGTGAGCAATAACTTGTCTGACAACATGGTGTTGTAATGACCTGTGTGGTGTACGCATCAACTTGCATCGCTTGAGCTGCGATTCATTGTGTAGAAGTCTAAAACACATCTGTAAGAAATTCCAGTACTCATTGCTCATAATAAGGGTGGAAATGCTGATTCAGAGCTGTAGGTAGTGGCACCAGGAAGTGTAAGAGATTGTTTAATATCCACTTTGCATATTCCTAAAAAGTAGATGCATGATTTAACAGTAGCAGGCACAACCACCTTTATTTTTAGCTGTTGTTTTAGCAGGGCAGGTGGTTCTTCCCCTCTCCCCTGGCCCCACAGTCTTTGTTATTGAACATTATATTGAACATTGTCTCAATACAGGAAACTAATTGTAGCTGAAAGTCTGGAAATATGTTTTAACTGTATTGGATTAGCACCTTCATTTACCTAATTACAAGAAATGTGAATTTCATTCACTGTCATTTGTAGAACATTCTGCTTATTGTTAATTCTGTGCAAAAAAGAGACATAGGAGCAAAGCATCTGACCCTGCAAACTCTCAGAGCTTCATGGTAGCTCAGTGCAAGAGTTAATCCCAGTTTTCAGAGGTATTCAGGCACTAAAGAACTGGCTAAGCACCCAGTTTCTACTAATCTCACATCATTTCAAGTTAGCACCCAAAACTTCTCTGAGGCTCTACATCTCATCTTTTTTACTGAAGAGTTCAGAATCCATTAATCAAATGAAAACAGCACCTGATCTGAATGGGCTGGTTTCCTGCAGTGTTTTTGAAACAGTAGTCTTTGGGAATTGAGAAAGCTGAGCAAGAATTTATCTGGTAGGAGAGGCAGAACTAGTCAGACTTGCTTGTCTTATGTGACTAAGATGTAGTCCTTTGTATGTTACTCCTAATACTACCTTTGACATTTTATCTGGCTTCAAGAAAGCAGATGGAAGTACCAGTTTAATTAATGTTACAAACTCCTCAACAAACGTAGATTCATGCTATCTTTTCCACAGGTATTACTAGGTGCTTCCATGCTAATAAAAGAGGCTAGAAAATATTTCACTAGTAAATACTTCTTCAGTCCTAATAGGAATTAATCTCCAGAGGAATCAGATGGCATAGCTGTGTTCTGCAGCATTGCTCTGCTAGCACGGAATCATTTTCATCCAGGGGGAGGAAGGGTAGCCTGATCTGAACAGTCTGTTCAGACATCCTCAGAACTCAATTTCTCTGATCATGCACTCTCTCTAATGCTGTGTGCTGTTAAACTGGCTGTCTCACAGAAAGCCCTCCCTCAGAAGGCAAATGTGCTTGACTTTTGCTGCCACCACTTCTTCCTTCATTGACCTGTAAGCATTGCAAGTTTCTTGCAGCATAAAAAGCATACTAGAGCTCCGCTAATACCTCTATGAATTCTGTAATTCTGATTCTGACACTATTATTAAAAATTGCACTGCTACAGAGTCCTGAGTCGCCTTTTCATTTCTGGCAGGAGAAAAAAAATTAATCTGAACAGTGTTTAGTGCTGAACATAGTTTTAAGCCATGCCTGTGTGCATCTGTTCCAACACATCAGGCATCCCTAGCTGCTGAAGTTGCTTTTACAGTTTGATGTGTAACAAGGAAAGCTGAAAGGAACCTGAATATGGCTTGGAAAGTCTTCGTGCCCTTTTCACAGATACCATTAAATGAGCCGGGAATAATCCCAGGCCCATTTCCTTTGGGAGTCCTATGCATCACACTTACTGTTAACCACATCCCCTCCTGACTAATGATGACTGTACCAGTGTTTTGCACAAGAATGCATTGAATGCATTTCTTGAATGATGAAGCATTATAGAAAGCCTTGATTGATGCCCTCACTGATAACAAAATGATCCCTTTATATCACTCTTTAATTGTTTAATACAGTATCATTTGCTTTCTCTCCAAGGCTGCAATTAAAGAAGTGAAGGATGCTGTGACCCAAGTGCACAGAATTACATAGTAGGATCTAGGCATAGATATCTCACCTTATGAACAAAGCCCTTAGGCTGCTAAGTGCCTAATGTGTTCCTTATACAAGTGCTCAGATTTGCCTTTATCTTAGCTATACAGGCAGCTGCACCTATCTTACACCAAAGCTCACTGTAATTCTCTAATTAATAATCTTCCATGTAAGAGCCAGAAATCATCTTATTATATATCTCCTAAGGGTTTGGCATTCCTGTAGAAATAAGTCCAGGCTAGCCACATTCTCAATTTCTTTTTGGATCTACTCCTTCTTGCTAGAAAACGTAAATCTGAGTGTACTGTATGTAACAGCTTTTCTAGGTCCATGAGGCATCCTTTTATTTTCTTCTGGATATGGTTTTTTTTGATGAGGAGAGTTGTGGACTTTATTTGCATGCCTTGTGTTTTGCAGTCCAGATCGGGATTTATATGCCAGTTTTTAGGTCTTTATGGCACTTCCAAGGGAGGATATTGACTTTCCATTGTATGGATGCACGTATGTTCAAGAAGTTTGGACTGTGGTGAGCCACAGTTTATCTGTGTTCTACATAGATAAAATCCCCATAGACGTCTGAACAGTTAAGTGTGGTAAAGAGGACAACTAACACACTTTGGAGCCACAGAAGTCGTTGGATACCATCTCAAGACACATACCCCTATTAATGGGGCCTCTGTGCCCTGCCTAATCCTGTCTTTCACAGGAATGACTTCCATGCTCAACTCAGAATCTCTCTTGTGAGAGGGAGAACTGATTCTGACCTTGTTATTTCTATATGTATTTTTTGGTGGTGTTTTCTTCTTGGGGGGGGGGGGGGGTGGTTCGAGGTAGTTTTTTGTGTGTGTGTTTTTTTTGTTGTGGTTTTTTGTTTTTTTTTTTTTTTGTTGTTTTGGTTTGGGTTTATTTTGTGGGTTTTTTTTGTGTGTGTTTTGGTTTATTGTTTGGTTTTGATGGTGTTTTTTAATTTTGGTCAGTTACAATAACCATAGTGCATAAAATTTGTGGTTATTGTTCCAATGTTAGCAGCTGTGGCACAGCTCTCTGACTTGTATTTGCTGTTTTGTCTGCTGAGAATGTGCCACACAGACTTAATTGTGTTGCTGTTAGAAAACCAGAATTAGTGCAATGTCTGCAGTGCAATTTTGATGTTGAACTGTGTACTTTTTCAGTCCTTGCACTCAGAGTTGAGGTCCACCTCGATGGCAGAAACACAAGTGGTGTTTATGGTATTTTTCTTGAAGTTTATATTGCCATGAGCCATTTTCTTTTCAATAGATTGCTATCTGACATTTTGAGTAAGGGTTTTGTTTTGGCTCAGCTGTTAGGACCTCAGCAGGGGCTATTTAGAGAAAAAGTGGCCATAACTTCAGTAAATACAGTGTGAAGGGTAGGAATGAAAGCAAAAGACATAAGTAAGGGTATGAATGAAAGCAAAAGACATAAGTAAGAATGTGTTTTAAAGCTTTTAAAATAGTTCAAACCCCATTATTTTCTGTGAATGTAGTTCTACTGAAAGCCTTAGTGTACTAGTAACTATGTAAACAACCCTTCTATGTAAAATGTTTTTTTTAAGTCTCGTTGTAACATTTTATCTGTTAATTTGTTACCGAGGGCTGTCAAAGGTAGAAAAAATGTTAAATGCAATCAAATATGCAGGCTGCTATTTGGTGTGAGGGATGAATTGAAGGATGAAGTTCATGATACTCTCATTGGCTAAAAACCAAACCATGTGAGCTGCATTATTGAAAAAAAAAAAAAGGTGGTTTGCATTATACAGTTTACAAAGTTTTGACTGAGAGTTACTCTGCTAGATTTTACAATCCCATAGCTAATGAAGTCAACAATGGAAATACTCAAAGAAGTTTCAAGCACTGCTATAGCCCATGTTTCTCATTTATTGAGTACACTGAATTCTGGTACTTATTCTTTCAGAGTTTTCAACTCATCTTACATTCCTAAGTTCTAGAATTTTATTTGGGGTCCATACTTTAGAGAGACTAGTTTCCTTCTTAATGCTATTGTTTGCCACTTGTAATCTGTGTGTTCATGTTCATGCATGTAATTGCAAAGAAAGGTGGTAGGTGTTTTTACAGCTGGTGGAAATGTTTAATTTCATAGTAGTTTTTCTCTGAAGTGTAAAATTCAGTGTCCATTCACAATTACCTGTTAAAGCTCCTGTAGTCAGGCAGTTCTGGCTTTGCTTCAGGTTTAAAAAGTTTAGGATATAAAGCTTCCAGCAGCTCTGGATCATCCCTAATAGCTTCTATCCAAGGAGACTGATAATACTTTGGCACAGAAGTAGTGTTGAACTTTTCAGGAGGAATTTCTTTCAGTGGTCCAGAATATCCTGCAGGGTGGTCAAGGCAAAGCCATTATAAATAATAATTTGTGTTTTCTCCTTCCTTACCACCATCCTGTGTAACTAGGAAGTAAAATACCATTATTTCACAGCTGGGTAAAATGAACAATTGGATCAAATCACTGAAATAACAAAAATATTTTTAAAACAACATTTTGGTTCAAACTGTAATAATTCTATATTCTTTGGGTTAAATTCTTCACAATTATTAAAAGGGGTTAGGCTTACAGCCATTATAGAGGAGTTTTTGTCTTTGTCTCTGCCTTAGATGCTTTAAAATCTCCTACCTACTTTTTTCTGGTCCTCATTATCTGGAAAAGTGACAAATCAGTTTTCTCTGCATAACCGTCCGAGGATCAGGCTCTGATCAGAATTCTACTAAGTAAATAAATTCCATATTCACTATGATTTCTTCTAAAGCCAAGCATATTATGGCAGGAATTAATATAGGGGGAGGGGAGAAGCCAGATTTTAATGTACTATTTGAAGAATTTTAAACCAGTGAGACATTATCCAATTATATGTAATACTATTTATGTGGAAAACAAGGGAAATCTGTTCTAACCTTTAAACTCCCACTACATCTAGCTCTTTAAATTAATGCTCTTTCCTTCTATGAGCTTAAAAAAACCACTGTGGCTTCATATCTATTCCTTTTGCCAGACTTTTTTTGCGTAAAGAAAGGCTTGAAGATTTCTATCATGTCTTGGCAATGGAAACTACCTCTGTTCACGGTGTATGTGACCAATGGATGAACAGAGTCCTAGCAGTCACTAACAGAATAACATTGACCTAGTTTACATAGACTGGAAAACATTGAATGAATGAAAAACATTCACTGAGGAATTCTGAACAAAGAATGAATTTGTAAAAACCACACTCTGCTCATGAATAATTCATGAACAGGAAGAAGGTCTATATCACTGAAGAAGTTAAATAAAACAAATTAGCCTTCTCTAGTCTTTAAAAAATGCAAAATAAGACCTTCTTGTAGCTTGCTTCTTTAAATAAAGACAGCAGTACCCTCACAGTTAAGGACTTAAAAAAAGAATAGTTTATACAGCCAGAGGCAAAATCCTTAAGTTACTTCTCTACAAAGGTTTCTAGCAATATTTACAGTGAATTCAGTTTCACATTTTTTGATAATTAAACTACAATGAATAACTTTCAGGCAGTTGAGCAGTGTATTGCATGTCAGAAACAAAGGTTTGGCAAAGAAAAACCTATGTATTAATCTGGTTAACAGATCTGAGGATCTGTTTTTGTTTATGAGACTACTAAATATAGCAGCAGTCTTTCATGATATTAATGTATTTTTTCAGTTTATGCAGAATTAGTATGAAAGACATATCAAATCTTTAAAAAGGAGCAGAAGCAACTGAAGAGCACCACTTGACATTTCTGTGGAAGATTCTGATTAGTTACCTTATTTCTAATTTATTGATTTCTAATATTAAGTCCATTAAAAAGTTCTTTTTGAAGATACTGTTTTTCAAAGAGTGCTATGAAATGAAACCTAAATATATTTCATGTTTGTAAACTCATACATTACCTGGGGCAATGTTGTCAGGATGTGGTGGGCTCCGGGGATCAGGAGTATTAGGAGGTGTCATTGGGGCATGCTGGGGAATCCCTTCCACACTGAGTCCATCCATTCTAACACTCTGTATGGGCTCTCCGCGCTGCATTCAAATATAAGAAATGTCAATTGACAGCATGGGCAAAAAAGCCTCTATTGAGGGTTGGAGGGACACTCCAATTTACAAGCCAGAGCTGAGACCTAGGGTATGCTACCTGAAGGCATACTGTCCTGCTATTTGGTACCCTCTTTGGTCCCAAAATCTCCAGGGTTTTCTGGCTGTTAGCTAGAAGATGAAACAGTTTTACAACTCTCTTACATTGGCCATGTATGCAAAAAACGAATAATTTTTCCAGTGTTAAGTATGATGTTCTTATATATTCAGATATAAGAATGATATCATTTTTAATGCCTGTGAATTTTTTATTGAAAGGATTGGAGGTGTTGTGAGCAAGGTCAGCAAGACTCCCAAAGCCTTATAACAATCCAGCTGAGTTTCTTGACCTTTTCCTAAGTTTAGAATACTTAAATCTTGATGCACAATCTACAAAGAGAGTACATCCCATCTGATGGTTACACCAAACACCATAAAGCTACCTGTGCCTATGGGCTGTTTGCAGCAAAGAGTAGTTCTGGTCACTTGAGCAGGCATAATATGTGTCCGTAGATCACTAGAATCTGTCATGTGCCAGGCAGAGCACCCTTGCTATACCCAAAGATTCAAGAAGTCTGGCAAGGCAATATTCAACCAGATTGAAATGCCAAATGCTTGCCTTCTCCCAGGGTGCCAGACAAGATGGGTGATGAAGGATCACTCTCCTCTTGTGATACCTCACTTGGAGTACTGAGTACAGTTCTGGTGTCCTCAACATAAAAAGGACATGGAGGTGTTGGAACAAGTCCAGAGGAGGGCCACAAGGATGATCGGGGGCTGCAGCACCTCCCATACAAAGACAGGCTGAGAAAGTTGGGGCTGTTCAGCCTGGAGAAGAGAAGGCTGCATAGACGTCAGAGCAGCCTTCCAGTATCTGAAGGGGGGCCTACAAGGATACTGGGGAGGGCCTCTTCATTAGGGACTGTAGTGGGTAGGACAAGGGGTAATGGGTTAAAACTTAGGGGAAGTTTGGATTGGATATAAGGAAGAAGTTCTTTACTGTGAGGGCGGTGAGGTACTGGAATGGGTTGCCCAAGGACGTTGTGAATGCTCCATCCCTGGCAGTGTTGAAGGCCAGGTTGGACAGAGCCTTGGGTGACATGGTCTAGTGTGAGGTGTCCCTGCCCATGGCAGGGGGTTGGAACTGGATGATGTTAAGGTCCTTTCCAGACCTAACTGTTCTATGATTCTGTAAGTTTGTGTTGTTTGAATTTCAAAGCACTGATTTTTCAGAGCTTCTCTTCCTGTATCAGTTGAAATTTCACTGCATTTGTTGAATAACTTTTGTTTGGAGTTTTCCTTTGTTATAGAAATAGCTTCAGTGTAGGTCACTTTCTGGAGATTCAAGGTATGCTGTTACTTTCCACCCTGATAGGGTATCAGTTCATCAGTTCTAAAGAAACATTCAAAGGCTTAATCACTGTCACATAAATATAGAATTAAAGTCTCGTAAGAAGTTCGTGTCTCATTTTAGCTATGACACATAAGCTAAAAGCAATTTAAATATAGACTGTTTAAGAGTTTGTTAAAGTAGGAAGCAAACAAATAATACTCGTTTAAACTTGAGACAAACAAGATCAAGGCAGAATGTTTTCTAGCCATCCTGAAGTATGTTGGAAAGATTATTTTTGGCAGGCAGAATCATGAAGATGAGGAAGACACCACCAGTGGTAGCAAAATAGATATTGAAGGAAAGGGAACAGGAACCAAAGAGGCATCATTTTTTTCATATGTCACACTGACATACTGATTGCACAGCATGCTTACTCTACATGTTTTGTGGTAAAAAGTAGACTAGAGGGCAACTGATCTGTCAGACCTTGTAAAAAAAGCATGGAACTGGATCAAGAATACTGGTGAGATAGAGGATATGCTCATGATTTATGTGTGTACCTTCTAATACTCAATAGAGGGAGAAACTGGGAGGATGGTATTCATAGATGTGTTTCTGAATAACAGTGTTCTAATAATAGTTTGGGATGTCCAGTAGAGTTGTTCAGATTTTTATATGGGATTTCTTTTGTGCAGATTTATTTTTCAAAAGTGGATTTATGAAAACTCAGACTTGATGCCTGTGTAATTTTACTTCTGTTGAGTGACCAAAGAAGTTTGAAATATCTGCACCACAAAAATAACCCATGTGAAAATTTTTCTTCTGTGATGTGGGATATTAAGACATTCTTTTCTTCCAGAGGAAAGTTACCTTTTTTTTTAATGGAAAATGTAAATGCCACACAATTACAAATATATCTAATATTACAGTCAACAAAGCATAGAGAATTCCTTCTTCAAGAAGGAAACAAAAATATTTCTGAAATATTAGTTATGATATTGAAATATTGAACTCAGCTACAGTAATCACCTGAGTAAGTTTCCTTAAAATCAACAAGCTGTATTGATTTTATTGTTTCTGATTTATTTACAAGCATATGTGTGTTTTCTTTAGTAAAATGAAAGATGAGTAAGCATGTTGGTGCTTTGTGATTCTGGTTAATATATTAATTGTTTCCTATTTGTTCCAAAACAAGCTTTAGATTGTATCATAATACGTTACATATAGTTACTATTTTTTTTTATCCCACGTGAAGATTAAAGAATAATTGAGTCAAAGTATTTGTATGGATTCTGTAGGGGTTGGAGACTAACACAGTCGTAGCACTAGCTATGCAATGAATAGTTGTAAAAGCTTCAGGTAAAGAGAATTGCTGTTCTACAAGAAATACTTCCTATAGTAAAAATAATTACTTTCTGTAACATATATGTCTTTTAATCTTCAAAACATCTTAAAAGTGCTGAGACAAATTCTGCTTCTTTAATTGCCTGCCTTTGTATCTGAAAGCAGGAGTGATGCATACACGTAACCGAGAAGCAGAATTTAATACAATACTGGAATCAGAGGAGCTGCTTGCGTGCTATATTAGACTGAGCATAGAATATTCATGTTCAAATAATTAAAACTTGCAGCACATTGGAGAGTTAGGCAAAATTTATGAATAATGTTGTCCCTATTTTCAGAGGTTAAGCAAAAGGTCTGAGTATTTTGCAAAGACTGCAGATGAGACAAATGCCAGGTATATTTAGTTCCTGCCATGAGGATTCCAAGAGTGTCGTTAATTATTTAACCAATTCCTGAAGGACTAGTTTGAAGAATAATTGTAATTTCAGTGGCAAGCTCTATCCTTTTTCTCCCAGTTGAGTCAGACAGGCCAGAATTGTGGTAGTGCCATCTGCGAGAGTCATTTTGCTGACTGGGAACCATGTTGAGGTCACCAACGTGTTTTAACAAAAATACTGGTTGCATGAAGCAAACTCTTATTTCTTCCAAACTTCTGAATATTATTAAATAGTTAATTTTCACATTAAGTAGTTAATTTTCAGTAGTCAACTAGGTAGTTATTAGAAGCTAGCCTCACTGTGTTTCATTAATAAGTTATTACAAAATACTCACATTTCTTGGCTTGTTTGCTACGTAATGGTAGTTTTCATATGTGTATTTGTCAGATCTCCGCTGACGTCTCTTGAAGAGTCTTGCACCTCTGTTGCTGAGTGTCGATAGTTCCTCTACCATGATATCTCTGGGGGTGCTGACTTTTTTACCAAGGTTTAAGCTAGGTGATTCTGCAATACAAGGGATAAATACATGCCTCTGTTTTTCTTAAATGTCTGATATGGCATACCCTGCACCTGAAATCCAACAACATGTTAACACATACTTCTGTAACACATAGAATAGCTTCATATGGTATTAGTGAAATTAATCATTCTTCCAAAATTTTGGAACAGAGTTCTGAACACCACAAACCTGTTTTTTTGAAGATACTAAACACCTCAAGATCCAAATTTACTGCAGTTAAATAGCATTCAGCTCTTACCAAAATTAGGTCTATAATGTCCTACACACAGTCTTAATAGCAGACTAGTAAAAAGTGGCTTCTGCTGAAACCAGGAATGAAATTCCATCTGACCCCAGGGTTCTCAGATCAGACCTTTGCTTTCTGTGGCCTGTATTGGATAGATGAGCAGGTAGCCCCTTTTAAACATGCCTTAAATAAAATAGACATTTTATTTTCATTTATTCTTTAATATTCTGCTTGCTTTTGAAAGCCAGGGCATGTTTTGTACTTTAAGAAACTTTTGCACTAGGAAGTCTCTATTACATAATACTTTTAAACTATTTCTAAAGAAGATTTCAAAGTAAAGCTCAGGGGGTTGAAAATGGGAGTCCTAACAAAGAATTAAAACGTGCTTCTAGGAACTATTAGATTTAATACATTTGCTTTTTAATTCTCTCCAAGAAGAAACTGAATTACTAGATGCAGTATTACGTTATTCACCGCATTTTGATTCCTTCTTTGTGGTGACTTCCTTGGAGATTTGAAAATGAATAATCAGGGGAAGGGGAGATCAACTGGGACTCTAAATGGCCAACTGAATATCAGAAACTCTACTGGTCATCTTCATGGTGATGTCCTGGACACTGGGATGCTGGTGGCGATAGTTGTTGCATAGTGACTGAACTCTCCCTAGATGTCCTCAACCTATACATAAAGCTTAACCCTTAGAATACAGTAGTTTCAACACCAAACAATTTTCTGCCAATTTATTTCTGCTTAGAAGTTGTAGAATTTAACAAATACAACAATAATTGGATTGCATAATAAAAACAGAATTTCTAAGGAAATAATTCCTGTTTCCTCTTACTTTAGTATTTATCATTTTATTAATTGAAATAATATTCAGTTATTTCCCTAGGTTGTTCATAAACTTCAGGAAGAAAAATAGGAAGACGCAGTGTGTTTTGAGGATTGTATAGTGATTATTATGGTCTCATATGTTTTTCTGATCCACTCAAAATCACATTTTGTTATTTCTTTGATAATAAGACATTCTATTCTTCACGTATTCTTACAGACTACGGGATTTAAAATGCTGAACTTTGGACATATATTTTAATGCATTAAAATGAAATGAAAGAAAATTATATGCAAGGCACCATATTGTGCTTCCAGAGTAAGCACACAGGAAATGCAATTTAAAATTAACATTACAGATTAATTAACAGCAGAAGGTATGTAATGATGAAGGTAATATTGCATGTGCAGAGTTTAATTTTGAGTAAATGGCATGTTCAACATGGCATATATCTCCTAGTAATTTTATGTTGGAAAAACAATGTGATTTGCTGACATTTAGGAAAACTCAATTGAGACAGTTATATTAAATATTTAGCCAAAGCTGTACAGGTGAGAGTTTTCCATGTACTAAGTCAAACAAATTTGTGGGCCCTGAAGTGCATCAATGTTGATCCACTTCTGTTCCTGCTGATTTCAACTGGATGTTTGCAGTAGATTTAAATGGAGCAGGAGTACGCTAACTGTATTGTTACATTGCTGGAGCATGCACTTCTGCTTTAAAAATAGTATTCGCAACGAGTCTTAACAACCTCCTGTTATTTAAGAGGTAGCTACAAAACAGAGAGTTCTTAACATGGAAAAAAATAACTCGGCTTGCCCAGTGTAGCTGTATCAGTGACAGATAGTAGATGGGTTTTGGCTCTGTGATTAAGTGTACTGGTTATTGGCCAGTGGCTTGACATTTCAACCTGCAAGTCACATCTTGATTTTATCAGTTCTAAAGGTTACTGCAGAGGTATGGACTGTTGGATGGTTTTAGTAAGAACTTTTCCCCTCAGATTGGCAACATTTTCATGGAGAGAAAGCTATTTTCCTTTGTACACAGAGTGGGTAGTACGTACATCCTCAGAGGCTGGGGTGCCAAGGTGATTGCAGGTCTGTGTACAAACCGCTCACTATTCTTCTGTGACTTGCTGGATGTTACCTATTTTGGGCCTTGCTGTTCCCTTGCATACAAACTGTTCTCGTTAACATTAGCTAAAGGCTCCAAGGTACTTTGTAACCCATAGTTGTGTACTATTGTGTATCCAGGCATCATCCCAAAAACATAAGTGTGAAGTTCCTTTGAGTCCCTTGCCAACTAAAATCTAATCATCTGTCGAGTTTTATGATGTGTCTAGGGATCGTTTCAGTGTCAGTGCGGAAAAAGTGATGAAGAATGAGAAAAGGAGGACATTTAGAGGGTGATAGAAAGAGAACATCAGTGTTATAAATGGACATTGTAAATTAATACTGGAAATATAATTCAAAATTTAATCCTAATCTTAACCTTTTAGCTTCATTTCTTAATTTGTTCCTGCCAAGTCCTTCCTGTCCTGTGCTTAAAATCATAACAGACTGTATTTAAATATGATTTTTATAGTTCCTCCTGCATTCACTGACTAATCCCCCTTTAATCTTCCAGTTTACGGTCTTCTAAATACCTTAATCTGGATCATACATTTCAATAATGAATATCAGGTAGTATGTTTGTTGTATTATCAGAAATAAGATTTTTTAACTGTATCATGAAAGATAATCATGTAGTTACTGAAGAATGCATTTCAGAAATAGTAGAGAACTGGACTTGAGATTTACGTGTTGAAGGCTAACCTGATGAACTCCAACATGTGTAAATATATGTATTTATATATGTTTAAGGAAGCCCTTAAATATGGCCCTTAACACTTGTATTTACATGTTTACCAAGTAGCCTTAGAAATGTTATGATCAGTCCATGTCTGCCAGTGAAAAAACAAGGGCTTGGGAAGGTCACTATACCCACATGCTGATTTACGACTACAGTTTCTCTTCTGAGGCCATAAGAGGGTTTACCCTTAGTGTCTCTTTCTGCAACATTTTATGATGTATCAAAATTCTCTAAAACACAAAGTCATGTCCCACAAGCCAACAGGAGATGTGGACTTTCAGTCATTAGCAGTCTTGCCCAGAGATTAGTAATCTGTGAGACACTGATAAAAGCTTGACTCATTTTGTATTTTATCAACAACTGTTTCTGCTACGAATATCTTTTAACAAGGAATTTGAGGTTCACTCTTTACCTGAAAGGTTTATAATGAAAGGGGGCTGAAATAAAAATGCAGTGGGTATGTATGCTTTCTGTATGTCATTCCAAGCTACTAGGGCTTGCATTACAGCATCTTCTCTTACTCTTTACCTCTGTTAGCAGTAGAGAGAGTTTCATAGGTCTGTGAGACTGGCTGAAACAGTATATTTAATTTTTATGCAGGTGCAAGACTGTCATTATTAGTGATGCAGACCCAAGAAAGAAAGGACTTCACCTTCCAGATCTCATGTTAAGCTTGTTGAATTAACAATTAGGGGAAAAGTAAAATGTTAAAAATTGGCAGGGCTGAATTTAGCTGTTTAAAAACCAGGTTTCTCTTGATTTTTTCCAAGAATTGTTCAGATTAGGTCCCAAAGAATTGGCATATGCTTTGTGTGATTACAGCTTTGGTTATCCCTCTGGTTCTTAACTGGTTTCACTGAGCTTATATAGTTATAAATTTCAGGCTCTTACTGCACTCATTTAATGGCATTTAATATTTTTTAAAAATTTTAACATCCCAGTCATCCAGAAAGTAGGATGTACACTTGTCCATATGTACGTACATACACATACATACATTTGCGGCCTTCTGTGGCTGCATATCATAACATCTCTTGCAGGGTAAGCTGTCATATCTATGTGTATGAATCTAAACTTGACAGCAAATCTGATAATACATAAGTGATAAAAGTAGATTATGTGAGGCAAATACCAAGAATCAGCACACATTATCCAATAATGCCAATGATTTTGAGGACTGTACAGTTTATTTATTAGTATTGCTGTGAATAGTAGCAACATTTACCATGTGAAATGCCTGGTTCCAAACAAACATATGAAAGACTTTCTCCCCAGTCCCCTGAGTGCTTACAGAACTATTTCAGGCACATAGAATACTTGGGTGTACAATACCCCCCAAAACCCCAATGAAGTTGTAATAAAATCTGTAGGGGCAGACTGGCTTTCAGACTTAAGTGTGTGTTCAGTGGAGAATGGAAAGAGGAAAGAGGCATTTGATTAGGAAGAGAAATTACGGGGAAAAAAGAAATGACAATATCAAAAGGACTAGAACCAGGTACTAAAACTTCCAACTTTTTTTTCCTAAAAACCTTACGTCTCTTGTCCTACTCTTCATGCAGTCATTATAGTCAGTGATGACTACAGAAACCATCCCCAAATTCTTTGGAGCAAAAGCCCACAAGAAAGATTTTCAATACTGGAATTTCATGTTTAGTGTTTTGTCCTGGGCAAGTGATACAGTTTCCATAAATTCTTAAAATTTGTGGAGCTCCCTCTTTTTAAAGTGAGGCTTGTGGGATATTTTTCAATTCTAAAAAATTGACCTTTTATATAGATGGTAAAAAAGGCTTCATGGGCAGGATTGGAAGTGTCCAGCACATACCTAATGAAATCATGCAGATTTGTATTCCCAACTAAGTTAATTGCTTCTTAAGGTGTCACACCAGAAGGGTATTTTTTTGAGAATCTGTTGTAAGAAATCAAACTACCTTCTCATAATGGCTACGTTTTCATCAGTGCAACAACAGAAAAGTAAGCTATTTTCACATAAGGTTAATTGGTGGCTGTGCGTTAGAGGGAATTGCCAAAGGCTAGTAAAATCTGTTAGTTACAAAGGTAAAAGTTTGAGAGGAAGGAGCAGAGATGTAAATGTTTGTTTCAAAATTTTTTATCGTTCATGTAAAACAGCAAACACCAGAAAAGAGGATACAAATCAGCACATTTCTTAGATAATAGGTAATTTAAAATTCAATGAAGTCATGTTATTAACCCCAAGTAATATTCTGAAAGGCTATCCTAGCAGAATGTACATCAGCTGTTAGATTACTTCATTCCTCCACAACAGTTGTTCATCTGAAAATAGCTTTCAAATGAAAAGAGGCAACTACAAAAGGATTAGTTACCATAGGCAGCATGATACTCCCACAAGATTATTTATGGCAAAACACCCAGAGACAAAGCTGTAAGAGTTAAACTCTATGATTAAAAAAATATATTAGGGAGGGCTAGAAGACATTGCATATACAGTAAGCTGGGTTCAGCGCTATACCATTTCTGTGTATTTCATCCATAATGGCTGATGCTTGTTGTTTCCTCTCTTTGACCATGGCAGAATGTGATAACATTGTGATTTTCTGATAGGATTTTTCCTTGCTGAAAAAAAAACAACACATTCTTACATTGTTGAGCCAGCTTGCACAATTTGGCCAGCTTTAATTTCTAATAAACTGTTTAGAATGGTTGAATAATGAAGTTAGTTATTTCTGATTTAGAAATACTGCACTTTTAATTGTGTGAAGTGCACTGGCAGTTCTTGCTTGCAGACAGATGCAAGGACATGATTCTGGTGGGTAGAAAACTCAAAGGAATGGTCTTTGAGTTGTCTACATAAATTCTGTACCAAAAGCAGTGTCTAGGCCTTCTCACATCTACACACTATTAAAAGATGTAAATTCATAACTAGTATTTTAATTACATCTTGTTTGATGACTCCAGAAATGTTACATTTTGACATTTCTTAATCTAATAAAGAACTTGAGGAAATAATAGAGACACCCTGACATAAGAAACTGCATTTCTGACTAAGTAAGAAAAATAAACATACTTTTAATCACGGAGTCAAGAGGTTACATAAATGTTTTCTATATGACAGTCTGTAGGACAAACAATGTCAAAATATTTCAGTAAACGATACACTTACCCTAGTGTTTTGTTGTGTAGAAAAAAAGCGATCTCAAACCTTTAGTTGAAGCTTCCAGAGTTAGTTATGTTGCGGGGATGACCTGCCTGGTCCAGGATGGTTTCTACCCTTATGCTTGGATCTTAATGGTTGCCTTGTACCAAGGCAAACTGGGGGCTGATACTCTTCAAAGGGCTTGGCATCCAGCTGACATCAACTAGTTATATATAGAATCAAACACTCTAGCCACTCATATCTTCCTGGCAAAAGAAGAGAACATAAAAGATTCAACTGTACCCACAACAAAGGGAGTTTATATCCTTTTCAGAGCTTATTGGAAGATTTAATGAAATGCTCCCCTCATACTTGCACAGATCATCTCCTCATCACCTCTGAGAATAATAACCTCCATGCTTTAACCAGGAAAGGAATATTTAAAAATATGACGTTAAATATATGGATGGGCATGACAGATGAGAATGGCATGGGCTAATCCTTTAGTGAAAGATGAAACCATGCTTCAATAGTAGCTGATGGCTAGAGTCACAGATGGCTGATACACAAAGTCTGTTCTGAAAAAGAAATGTGCATTTTTCAGTATTACATGTGGTAGGGGCTAATTGTTCAAAAAGCACTCAATCCTCAAAACCAGTTATTCAAAATCTCTTAATTTTGTTTGTGCATTAGGAGCAGAAATCTGCAGTAATTTGAAGCTTAATAATATTCAGCATTCTGGGATACTGTTGTATCATTTTATCAAACAAATGTGTGATATTTAGAGAACAGATATTTCAGAACAGCAACCAACTTTGGACAGAAATAAAAAGTGGCAGAGGAAACATTCCCCTGTAGCCTCCTGTCAGAGGGCAGCTAGCTGAATTATGGGACAGTAAAAGCAAGATGAAGCTTTTGTGTTTTGGGTTTGGTTTTGTTCTAGGAAGTTTCTTTTTCTCATGGAAAATTACAGTTTTGTTTCACTTGGAGGATTCATCTGAAAATTACTTGGATCCTGATACAACAGGAGAAAGAAATTCTGACTGCAAATGGATAGTAATAAAATGTACCAACAGTGCACATAACTTTTTGAGCAAGAAGCGCTCTGATACAGATAAAATGTATGAGTCTGATGCAGTGTCCTAAAAGCCTGCTTGTCCAATCATAAAGTTGCATTATTTTTGACTAAAGCTTTCTATTTCTAGGTTTAGCTTTTCAAAACTTTTTTTCTGAGATCCTAGATATCTCTGCCCCAAAGAGGTATTAATTTTAATCCTCACTATCAGAATTTACCTGCTGCTGTTATTCATTGGTAATCCTTTTCTAGTTTTTTGTGATTGGATCAGCAAGCTTGGACGCTGCCAGCAAGCATGGTCAAAGTCTTGGTTGAATGTTATCTCTTCAATGGAAGACCAAGATTCTCAGTGGTTCGCCACCAAACTGTCCAGTGGCATTGCAGGAGAGTCTGTCAAGGGTTCATGGTACTCCTATTTTCATTAATAGCTTCAGTGAAGTAGAGAATGTCAGAGAACGCCGATCTAGGAAAATTACAAGCAATCTGTATGAAACAGTGTAAATGTTAACTTGATGAACTGGAAAAAAGTAAAATGCAATTCAGTAAAACCACATCCAAATGAAAGCATAAAGTGGGCATTCAACTGATTGACACTGAACTTTTCCTAAAACTTGAATTTTTGATCCAGGAGGAATTAGCAAGAGGCATCCCAAATGGGGATGTGTTTAGTCTATTCCAATTTCTGTTAACTAATAGAATAAAAAATACACTAGTAAGCTAAATTGTGCTTTTACACTATTGGAGCATGTACAATGCAGTCAACTGTTACTTCTGGATGACATTTCAGTCAACTGTTACTTCTGGATGACTGGAGCTTTTGAGAGTGGTAGAATCAGCCTTCAAAATTACACTGAAAAATTCTTGAAATAATTCAAAGTCAATAAAATTAAGAGATAAAATGCAAAGTAATTGCTCATAAGAAGGAAAAATCAATTGCAGGGAAAGAAACTGAGGAATAACTGCCAAAAACATTTTGGCAGAATAAATCATAAAATAAGCACTAGTCACTAGTGCAGTATAAAAAAATGCAAATATTTTGAGCTTTTTGAACAGACCATTGGAAGATTTTACAGACATTGAGGAGCTGGAATATTTTGATTAAGAAAGATGTAATGCTGTGAAGAACTGAATAATATCCAGGCAGCACATCCTAAAGAATATTACCTGTGAGGAAAGAGTTGGTTTGTCTGGCTTAGCAAAGGTAAGAAGGAGATGAGTCATGATAGCAGTCTCTTCACATGGAAAATGAGTCTGTAGTCTAGTCTCCAGTCTTGTTCACAAAGTCTGGAATAAGAAATAACCAGCTTATTTTATATCAGCAGTACAGACAACATATTAGGAAATTTCTTTCTTAGAGGCCCAGAACATTTAGCAATGTGAAAAGTGCATCCTTAGCAATTTTTATAAGCAGGTAGGCATACTAGTCCTGCTTTAGAGCATTGGTATGAATTTGATGACTTTGCATTTCACTTTCAGCCTTAATTTTTGCAAAATTCACAGGTACGCTCTAGATAGGAGTAATCATTATTTAACAGTCTCACCAGTTAACCTGTTGCATTGGTGGTTTGCTTTTTGTTGGAGTTGATACTGAAATGAACTTTTATTTTTGCAGTTTTATTTCCAGCACTTCGCAAACCCAGGAGGTTCCTGTTCGGCCTTCACAAAGTGACAGTACTCAGATTTCACTTACACAGACATTGTGGTTTTAAGATTTTCTCAAGCTTTCATTTATGTATTCAGGACCCACTTCTAATTTTGTTTGCAATATCTGAATATCTGAATGATGAAATAATGTAAGAATATCAGTTTCTTACAATATCAAGGGCAAAATGTGAACACAGACGCTGTGATGTTTGGAAGTTTTGTGAATTCAACTTACTTGTGATACTTGTGTATGGGTCCAAATGCTTGTAAAGGTTAAGGAAGTTGAAAGAATTACAGTACCATGTGACAACATAATAAAAATTAAATCTTGAATTTCAGTGAGAAACATTATTTAGCAAGTGGAAAACTAGAAGGATTAAGTCAGTGTGTGAACAAGGACCACATTTATCTGTCTTCTTCCTTTAGGTCATTTTTATTTAACCAAGTAAGACTTTTGCTTCCAGTATTGTCTTTTAGAGCACCTTGTGAGATCTTTCCCTCCACACTGCTTCCCCTGAATTGTGTAACTGATGAGAAAGGAGTCCCAGGCTGCAGGTGGAAAAAGCCTGAACTACATACAGTCATCCACTTCTGTAAGTAATTTCTCCCTCATTTTCTCACTTTTTCTTTTCCTTGCTTTCTTTTTCTCTTCAACATAGAATCATAGAATAGTTAGGGTTGGAAAGGACCTTAAGATCATCTAGTTCCAACCCCCCTGCCATTGGCAGGGACATGGAAGACAATGAGTTGTCTCTCAAACAAGACTTAATTTATAGACAATTTAAATGCTGAATAATGCCTTAATTCTTAGTGGTTGCTTAATTTATCCTGAGACTGTGACTGCCATATGTACTTATTTTTATGCCTTATATTTAAATCCATGAACTATTCAGGGTATTAACGTTAATATATATGTGGAGTCTTATGCACAATATGAGTGAAATCAAGAGGTTCAGGGATTAGATATGTCTGTTTGTAAAAAAGGGGGTTGTAAGTGCTACACTTACAGTAACAAAGTCACCCAAAGTGCTCAATTAATGACTTAACTGATGTTTCTGTATTCTGTATCTATCTTACCTTCAGACAGCTATTTGCAGGTATAGCTGTTACTGTGAAATACTTGACTGGAACCAAAGAATAAACAGGCAGAGATAAACTACCAACAGTTGGTTTTTGTTTTTGTTTTTCTTTTACATTAAACTGGTCCTTATAGATGTGGAGGTCAAAAAGCATTGCAAAAAGTCAGAGATGTGGGAGTTTGCCTTCTGAAAAGAGTTCCACTTTCTTCTTTTGCAGTACTTAATTTCAGTAGTAGTCACAATAAAAGTCTTACATTTTTTAAACTCAGACAGGTGGAAAATGTTGTGCCCCAATTTGCCTCACAGTAGATTTTCATGTGTGTAAAGGATATGTTTAGTTTATGCTCAAGTCACTTGATGCATAACAAAGAAATAAATGGAAGTAAAGGCTGGCATTAGGAGAAAGCTTGCTCCATGTGACAAGCAAGAAGTTGATAAAGAAAGCCTGTATTAGATTGTATTTGCTAAAACAAAATCTTAAAGAGGCCTGACGCATTTTCTGTCACAGGTCTTTCCAGTTTGTATTTTTTGCCTCTCACACATTGAATAATTTTCTTTGGCAGTTCTCCCACCTTCAGGAAAACCTGCAGACATGTTTCTCACAAATTTAGCATGATCTAGCTGAATGAATGTTTTTCTTGACAATAGTAGGGAAATTTGTTATGTTTTTGTAAAAGTTAAATCCTGAAAAATATAGACCTATAATCCTGCTTTTACTTAAATTCTGAAGTTGAGCTAGCCAAAACCTCTCATGTGTGTTGTGAATGAAATTAAGTCCTGTTATTGTTATAAATTTCCATGGCATATGCCTTGCATTCTGACATAGGCAGTACAGAGTTCACTGTATTCACTTCTATATTTTGGTTCATTTGAATGAAGAAAAAAAATAAATTGTAGAGTTGTCTAGAATATGCTTACCTGCTTATGAAGAGTGTGGAACATTTTTGTGAATATTTTTAGTTTTAAGTTTTGTTTTGGGGGGAAAAAAAGTATTTTTGCAGATAAGAAATTAAGTATTTTCATTTCAGTTACATGCTGGATTGGTAGTTTATCTGTAGCTCCGTTGAACAGACTGGCAAGAGACTGATACAATTGAGGTTTTGATAGTATTGTAATCAATGATGTATAACATATTTGATAGACTTTTCAAAATATTGTTACTGTTGTCTTTCTGTTCAAGATCCAAAGACTGTCATAATTTTTAGGAAGACAGTCTAAAATTGACTATTCTCATTATCATCATTTTTTAAAAAAGAAAATGGGAAGGTTTATTTTGTAGAATTTACATTTGCCACATCACATGTAGTAACAATTTACATAGAAAGCTTGCAAAAAGAAACAACCCACAAAAAAAAATAACAACAACAAAAACCTCATC